GCCCGGAACTACGGCCTAAAAAACAGTGCGTTAATGTTCGAAATAAGGTTTTATATCTAGAAGTGTAAGTAATATGAGTGCAGAGGTCTTTTTGCAACTATATCTTGCGCTAGTCAGGCCGCACCTCGATTATGCGGTTCAGTTCTGGTGCCCTTATTATAGAATGTATATAAATACACTGGAGTCGGTGCAGCGAAGAATGACGAAAATCATTCCGGGACTTAGAAACATTCCACATCAAGAAAGGTTAAAGAAACTAAACCTGCATTCCCTAGAAATGATAGAGGTATTTAAGTGGGTGAATGGAATCAATAAAGGCGATATAGATAAAGTTCTTATAATATCCTAGACGGATAGGACTCGTAGCAACGGATTTAAGTTGGATAAGCTTAGGTTTAGGAGGGAGATAGGAAGGAACTGGTTCACAAATAGGGTGGTGGACGAGTGTAGCAAGCTTAGCAACTTTGTAGTAAGTGCTGGAACGCTGGAAAGTTTTAAAAGGAGGTTAGATAGATTCGTGGATGATAGAGAGCGGTAGTAACTCTCGACAGGAGCTGCCATGAACAGGCCAACCGGTCTATTGCAGACTCCTTATGTTCTTTGTTCTTGTGTAGTAAGAGTAATTTATGTGGCTAACTGGGGATAATTCAAGGTTTTTCTGACGTTTATTTGGTGGCGGACGGGTTATTTGGCGGGTGAGTTAGGTGGTAGTGGGCGAGATACGTGACGGCTGACCTAGCGTGGATCTAACTGCCAAGTTGGAGAGTTCAGTGATCGGCTGGTTGGTTATCTAAGTAACTAGCGAGTTGGACGACTATCCTAATTTCCGCTTGGTACCACGAGGTGTGAGTGGGTGACGATTCCCTTGGCTGAGTCTGCCGAGGAGAGGCCATAACACCGTGGGCCATCCAGGACATATCCATTAACAGCTAAGGATAGTGTGTGTGAGATAGTGGTGACGAGTTTGTTGACTCGTCACTTGAGTGGAGAGGGATGTAGTTTGGTGAACGGGGAACGTTGGGAATTCAGAATTAGATAACCCTAACTACTTGACTCGCCTTAACGCCTGTAAATAAGGATGAAGGGTTATTGCTTGTTGTTGGATGCGAAGGAAGGGAGTAGGGTTGGAAGAACTTTGGAGGTATTTGTGGAAGGGGAGGATGGGTTTTTGGATAAGGTAAATGAGGGGGAAATTTGAAGGAAAGTAGGCAAGTAAAGGTATCCGGGCGCAACCAGATATGCTGTATTAAAAAAATCTGGGTTGATCTTTTGTACTACTATTTTAAGTTCTAGCTCTCGGATCTTTCGCTTTTCTCTAAATCATGTTTCGTCATTGCAGTGACCACTATTTGGAAATGAGGTGATGAACTCTGGTCAGGTTCTTTATGGAGCTGGCTGAGTATCGTATCTTTTGCTTTAATAAAGGTGAGAGGAAGCGGCAGGAAGTAGTTGGAGAGGCCAAGGATAGTATCTATTAGTCACTCTTCTTTTGTATGAGTTTTTTTTTAATAATTGAAGCTTTTGTTTAAAATATGAAAAAATGTTAGGAAGTGGTGTAGGATGCAGCTTGCTACTTTGGTTCGCAAGGGGGTGGTCCTATCTATTTACTTTAATTGAAAAGGCTTACGTTTGTGTTGCCAGTGCTCTAATTGGCTCTTCATTCTATGCTATATATGTTTTATTTTGTTATGGTATTGCTTCGAGATTGTTAGTTGTATCTTGGTATTGGTGCTGGGTTGTTTAGTCTTGTTCTGCTTGAACTGAACCACGAATGTGCTCTCTTTTCCATTTCATTATCGAGCCAGTGAGTTACTGCTTCTAACTCTAACTCTTCTACTTGTTCCCACATTCTTTTAGCTTTGTTGTAATTTACATTTACTGCCTCGATGTTGGCACTTCTATGAAGTTATTCGTTTGTTATCCTGTGTTCATATCTGATGTTATATATAAATCGTAGACATTTTTTTTAGTAGTTTCTTGATTATTGTGTCAGTGAATGTGTTGATTGGTACAGGCGGGTACCTTACTATTGATTTTATTTGTGCCAAATAGAGTTTCAATTTGTTTTATGTATTCAGGTTTTGGAATCTCCAATTTTTTTTAATTTTGCTGCGTAGTTTGTTGTCATTTTCTTTAATGAAGCTTTGATATCCGGTTTTTGTGATCTTGAGTCTTCCAGCAATATGGTGCCTTCATTTGCGTATGGGTATATTTCTTCATCTACGATAACTAGTTCGACCTTTTGTTTGGCAATTGGTATGATTTGAAATTTGTTTATATTTGTTTTGATCTTCCATTTTCTTTAATAATTTATGATCTTTATTGCATGCGCTGTATGGCGTGCCATCATTGACTCTGTCTTTCCAGGGTATGACATGAATTGTGTGATATCTTCTGCAAAGATTATGTTCGTTATGCTGTGTTGGTTCTAGTAGGTTGCTTGTATATATGGTGAATAATGTTGGGGACAAGACACATCCCCCCCCTGGGGCACTCCACTTTCCAGGTTTAGGATTGGCCCTAGACACATATTAATTTGAAGCTGTGCTCTTCTGTTTCGGAGTCAGTCACATAGGATTCTCTCCCTCTCTGCTGGCAGGTGTAGTTGTAAGATTTCGTACTTAAGGCCTGTGTGCCACATCTTATCAAAGGCTTTTGCCACATCTGTCAGCACAAGGTTTACTTGGTTTCCATTTTTATTTTCTTTGGCTATGATTTGTATGAAAGCTATTATTGTTTGGGTTTCTGTCCCTCTCCTGAAGCCGTATTGTCTTGTAGCCGTAACTATATGTAGCAATTCTGTTATTACGGAATGACCTGACTAACCTCACCTAATTCTGACTGAAGTCACATACCTAACGAGCTACGGCAGGATTATCACCATCAATGTCACTTTTCATTAATGTTAAAGTATGCAGTTAAGTGAACTCTACCTTGTGGGTGTAAGCATGCCTCTCTTTGGAGTAATATAAAGTGGTGTTATTACATAGTGTCTAGAGTAATTACCGGTGGAAATATTGGCTTAAAAATAACTGTGCTCACCATTATTAAGTAACCTCCATTTCATGAAATATTGAGATTTGTGTGAGCTATTATATTAATTGTGCTTGACCAAATCCTGGTGTATCTTCAACTGCCCGTCATGGTTAATCACACACCTTGGACACTGGGGTGTTAAGGAAAGATTTGGTGCTGTGTATGTAATGTTATTGACTTTGGTGTCGTAGAAGTATGACATTCACATTTTGGCTAGTGTTGCTGTGCACGTTTACTGGGATGGTGGAGGAAGCACCCATGACTTATGCACACAGGAGTAACATGGTTAAGACAGGGCTATTGAGCCGTCCATCTGATAAGTCATGAGTGACTCTCTGTCGGCCACAACACTAGTACGCACTTACTTTCATGTTTATTGCTGGTATCACGCCCATCACCTGTGTTGGGACACGCGGTTGATATTGGGCGTCATACGGTGCTTATTAATACGTACAGTCAACAGCAGGAGTTCGTCCCAGCCAACCTGCATGGTATGAGGAAGAAATGGCAGATATGCTTTACATGACTAGTTATTTAAGATTTATGATCGGAGGTTGGCTAAGAATACATTCTTGTATATAAGTTTTAAATAGTAATAATATGAAAAATGATATATTTTTTTTTATTGAGAAATAAATGAATTTGCTGCAGGATGACTGGGGAACCAGACATACAGGTATATGATTATTCGTACAGCTGATGCCAACGAGTATTTTTAATGCTTAATGACACATTTATTAAAAAGAAATGTCACATATTTCTCAATGACATTATTTTCCCACAGTGTGCAGATTGATACTATTTAAATCATTTACAAGAAATGTATTCTTAGGCAACCTCCGCTCAGAAATCTTATATAACTAGTGATGTAAAGCAGTGGTCCCAGATCACTTGTCTCATACCATGCAGATTGGGTAGGATGAACTTCTACTGTTTATAGGTTCCGTATGGTTCTAGTGATGTAAGAACACAAGCGTTAATACAGTACAAATGTTGTGATATATTTATGTGAAACTCTTATTTAGCCCCAATCTCAGAAACACCAGTCACGGTCACGGAAAAGTTTATAAATTTTTCTGTACTAATTTCGTATTCTGAGGGTGTGTGTGTGTGTGTGTGTCTTCAGCTGTAGGGAGCTGAAATTATTTACAAAGCTGCACGTATATCGAGCAGTGATCCTCCCCACCCTACTACATGGCAGAGAGACATGGGCCACATACAGGAGGCACTTCAAGGCACTTGAAAAACTTTCACCAACGTAGTCTACGTTCCATCCTCCGACATCGCTGGGAAGACAAGAGAACAAATGCCAATATTCTTGCTGACACCAGCCGTAGGAGCATAGAGGCTACCATTATCCATGAACAACTACGTTGGACTGGCCATGTTACCCGCATGGACGACAGTAGACTGCCAAAGCAGCTACTTTACAGTCACCTAGCGAATAGTAAACATAACGCTGGCGGGCAACTGAAAAGGTATAAAGATAGTCCTAAGACAAACCTGAAAAAGTGCCAAATCGACCCCCTCACCTGGGAGTCGATTACTTCACATCGTAACTCTTGGAGGAGCACCGCACGAGAAGGTGTCAATGTTTTCGAGTTTGCCCGACTGCAAACCAAAGCAGACAAGCGCCAACGCCGGGAAGACGCTGCCACCTCCCCTCCAGCAGTGGGTGGAGCCCTCCACATGTGCAACGAATGTGGACGACGCTGCGGGTCCCGTATCGGTCTCTTTAGTCACCTCAAAACTCACCAACCTAGGTGACATCCCTAATAGCTGGATGATCGTCATACTCGATTCCGAGTGAAAGCAAAGTAGTAGTAGAGTGTGTGTGTGTGTGTTATCGTAGAATAACTCCCATTTTACTTGTATAAAGCTTACTGGTTGCCGGGCATTACACCTTAGTATAATACATAACACACCAAGACCCGTCGTTCTGCTTAGTGCCTTGTTACACTTACCTCCCTCATCACCATGCCCACCATGCCGTTCCAGGAGCCATTGTCAAGCTTTACGCCCCACAACCTGTCAGGAGGCCGCACATATCTGTAACTGTAGGGTAAAAAACAGCCAAGGGTTACAATGCTAATGAGTTCTTTGCAAAATATATTGCAACAAACGAGAAGGTATATTATAATATGAAGTTAGAGTTTCTCTATTTTGATAAAACTTCTTGAATAAGAAATATGTTTAGGAAATTTGATTAATTTAATGAACACAAATGGAAGTGTGGCAAAAGGGATAATAACGTTTATCCCTTTGTAGACGAGTCTTGTGAAAATATTCCAGTCCTGTAGTGAAGACATGGATTGAATGCCTTATGTAATAATCAGCATATGTCATGGACGGTAAGGAACAGGACAAAATATTGGCTCGCCAATGTTTGATCAATTTTCTGTATATCCTATCAGGATTGTAAATGAATATCGGTAGGATGTTTGCTGATTATTCGTGCCTTAGACAATAAATCGGACACCATCAATACAGTTGTGGTGTGATGTAAGGCAATATCCCGGTGCCTGAAACAAGAATTCACTATCATTACAGTCAACCAGTCGAGTCAAAGGAGCTGCAGTACCAGACTATGAAATAAAACTAATTCCATGTATAATGATATACATATTACGATGAATTTACCCTAAGCAATTGGGTATTATGAATGGGTGTGGCCTGGCCGAGGTGGGAGCAAGACGCATTTGCACTTGGCCTGTCGGGAAGAGCATATCATAAAGCAATGAAAGATCTCACGCTTAAACTATACACTGTGGCAACTCTTGATGCCACACTCTTTTCATTCTAGAACATGACAGTCAATACCGCCATGAACATAATATTTTTTCCCCAGTGATAGTTCTGAAGCTACAATGAAACTTTCCTCTTACTGACATCCTTTGTGTTAATTCCCTGCAAAACGTCAACTTTTGGACATGGTTTTCACCCTCCTACTCTTCACAAGAGCATAATGGGGTGGCACCTGGGAGCTACATCCAAACTCATTTTTTCTGGTACTTTTATTTTTGTATGTTTTGATCAAACCAATTTTACAAGGTGGGCCACAGTATACAATATCTGGCTGAAATGAAACAAATTCCTTATACCGTTCAAACCCAATATGAGTAGATAAACTTTGGGATGAAGAGAGCAGAACCTCCGTTCAGCCAAAGTGACTCTTATCAAGCAAAGTAATGGATAAATAAGACTGAAAAGAGCTAGGGTAAAATTGTTAGTACTGGTATCACTGTAGATAAACAATGTCATACCTAGGATCCCACATCATTCCAAACACAAGCTGTGTATTCTACTTTTACTGGGCAAAAGTCTTCTTAAAAGAAAGAGCTACGTAGAAGAAAGGCAGTGCAAATGAAAACTCATTATCAATTATCTAAAACTTGAACATGTTTTCTTTTAATATGAAAGCAGAAACACTACAGAACATTGTAACAAGAGACCTAGCAAACACAATCTATAGAAAACTCATTTTTAATTTACAATGGCATCGAACTGAAACAACAGGAAGCTTTGTGAATGAGTGACAAATTTTGATTGAAAACAATAGTAAGTCTGAAGTACTATTTCATAACCAATTACTAGGGGATAGTTATGCAACATTTTCAGATTAATATGGTGTTGTGAAGAAGAGTATTGGTGAAGAAGACAAATAGAAGATCTTCAAAGTTGACAGAAGTACATTGTAGCGTTTTGTCACCATTTATGAGGCTGGTTGACCTGTTGATTTGGCTACAATCTTGACACATGATCTGATGTCTGTATCAAATTATCCGCACCAGGAACAAATCCATTGACTGAAGGCATAGATTGCCCTGAATCTATCTGCACGAAGAATCATCTTCGTTTGCTGTGCATGAACTTAGAAAAATAGTCTCTAACGGTGGTTAATTACAATTAAGACTGAAAGACAGTAAGCACTTAGTCAAGGAACATCTTAAATATTCAGGAAATGCTCCACCTGTTTTGTTCAAGAGTCTTATCACAAAAGTAGTTCCTCTGTTATGTAACAGTGTGTAAGGGCGGAAACGATCTTCCTGCTCGTTACCGCTGCTAACTCTCTCGTTTGCTGGTGCGACCTACACTTGGGGGTGGACAGAGGTGAGAACGGCAGCGGCTACCTGAGTCACCGGCAGATTCACCCCAGCCGCCATTCAGTCACTATCTAGCTACCCCGTTGTTCGTCAAATTCTGGTTGTGATCTCATCATAGGTCCTGGACTCGTGGGCTGTTTTCCCAGACCTTCACCTGTCGACTGTCAATTCTCTGGACATCAACCACTACCGCTGCTCCTCTCCACCGTCGGTGCCCCCGATTTTTCGTCTGCTCTATCAAGACATCGGCTGCTGTTGCTCGAGTGAGGTTGAACGGACGCTTCCCCCTAAGAGTGGATCACTGTGTTCTGGAACCTTCCCCAGGGCCACTGTCGTAGGATATATCTGTTCATTGTTTGATTATATTGTTTGATTCCTTTAATTGCCGATTCCCATTAATTGTTTGCTTCCCTTTAATTGTTTGCTTCCCTTAATTATTTGAGCCCATTAACTATTTACTGCATTAAATGTTTGACTCCCGTAATTGTCACTTGATGTTCGTTGAGTGGTGTCAGAGTTTTCTTATATTTTTTATAGTAAAGAGATGTCCATCTCAAATGGTTGTTTGTTATTCCTCAGAAAACCTTGGTCCTTGACTTTCCTTTATTAAGATCTTGATTAGTCTGGTAAGAGATTTATATCCCTAAGTCCCAGGCCTTTGGAAGTGGCGACCTTGCCAGGATTTGTCTCTGACCTTTGGTTTCTGAGGGCTAACATTTGTTCCTGTGTTGTTGTAAGTCGCCGTGAACGCGCCTCCTTGCTGTCTGTTGCCCGGAAGTAAGTGTTGTTCAGTGGTTATCCCTTCCTTCTGTTTGCTAATTTCTTTGCTCTCCCTTGTACTTGGGAAAGTTAATTAGTGTTGGTTGGGGTGCTCTGTGGATGCTGTCATAGCATTTTTGTTGTTGTTTCACCTGGTGCAGTTTCTCTACCCTGAGTGATTCAGCTGGGCTGGGTGCGGAACAAGGTTCCCTCCAGTCTGATCAAATCATTTATTGGTCTGATTGAGCCACTTGGTAAGTTACCTTTGGCTATTTGTGGGGTAAGTTGTGTATTTTTTCTTTTTGCTCGTGGCCTTTCGGATCATTACGTATAAATTTGAGGAGTTGAAAGGTCAAGCGGTGACCCTGGGTCTGACAGGTACTGAGGTTAGTAAATATGTGGTCACCCAACAGAATGCCGAGAGAGAGAGGAACGTCAGAAAGCGAGGGAGGAACTTCAGAAAAAGAGAGCGTTGGAGGAACGTCAGAGAGAAAGAGTTGGACGAACTTCAGAAAAAGAGAGTTGAAGGATTGTCAGAGAAAGAGTTGGAGGAACGTCAGACAGATAGAGAGTTGGAGGAACGTCAGAGCGATAAAGAGAGTTCGAATTAGCTAAGTTGCAGATAGAAAAGGACCTAGAACTAGCTAGGATTAATGCTTCAAGTAGACCACAATCCTCTGGCCATATCCAAGACAATGTGGTAAAGCCCAGCTTGCCTGTGTACCGTGAAGGAGAAGACATCGCCTCCTACCTTGTTATGTTTGAACGGGTAGTCGAGCTGCTTGGTGTGGACCCAGATAGCTATGCTGTAAGGTTGGGTAGCCTACTTAGTGGTAAGCCGGTAGAGATTTACACGTCCATGTCTACCGACATCACCAGAGATTACTTCTTGTTGAAGCAAGCTCTCTTGCGAGGATTTAACAACACTTCTGACGGTTATCGTGTTGATTTCCGCAGAACGAAGATTAGAGCAGGAGAAACGTACCAGCATTTTTCGATTCACCTGGGTTGTTTGTTTCAACAATGGCTGGAGACAACAGAGGTTGAAGAAACCTTTGAGTGTCTCTCTAGCATCATGATATTAGATCAGTTTTTGACTTCTCTACCTCCAGACTTGAGAATTTTCACCAAAGAACACCAGCCAGCGACGCTTGGAGAAGATGTTCGTCTTGCCGACAACTGGGCGTCTGCTCACATCGCCTACCCTAAGTCTTCCCCTCCTGTAGTGAAGACTGCAAAGCCTCCGTCCTCCAAGGAACCAACCCCAGGAGTACACAAGAGTAGTTCACCAGCCGTGCGGTGTCACAGCTACGGAGAAGGGCACATTCGTTCTCGCTGTCCCAGGAATCTCCTGGCCTTCAAGACTGTTGACACTCATCAGCCCAGCAACAAGGTTCGGATTCTGTTTGGAAGACAGGAGCTGCCCTCGTTATTGTGTCAGTGGAACAATAAATGGGTCTTGGGCATCTACTTTCATCAGGGACACTGGTTGCTCGTGCATTATTGTCTCTGAGGAAGCCCTGCCTGACGCTGACATCTCCAGGGCCCGAAGGTTAGTGTCTCCGATTATTTAGATCGTATTGACCAGTTTCCTGTTGTTAGGTGCTACCTGCGCTGCCCCTATTTCACTGGTTGGTCTAATGTGGTAAGCGCTCCCATTAAATTTGCTAGTGTCCTCATTGGAAATGTTCCCGGTGTTCGTGACCCTAACGACCCGGAACCTTTAAAACTCTCCTCGCCATCAGCACCATTCTCCTCAGCACCAGTTCCCACGCCACCTGACGACGACGACGACTCGCCACCCTCACACGCCTCCAGCCAAGGTCCAAGTTGTAGAGACACGGACGGCGATGGTGAAACGACCGCATCCCCTGATTCTGCCGAATTTGTTGCCACTGACTGTGACGCCCAAGGAGTTCGCCAAGCTTCAAGACTCGTGTGCCACTCTGAAGCGGGTAAGGGAGAAGGTGACTTCCGGGAAGGAGGATCAGGTGAGAGATGGGTCGGTTTATAAGTTTGTTTATATTAATGGGGTGTTACATAGGTCTTGTGTGTCATCCAAACGACCAGCCAAAGTAGGTCGGTTTTTACGTTTTGTCCCTGATGTTTGTCGTAGTAACATTCTCTCTGTAGCTCACGAGAGCCCTCTAGCAAGTCACTGTTCTCGTAGGAAAACTTATAGGAAGGTTGCTGATCAGTTTTACTGGCCAGGTATGGGGGCGGATATTATAGCTTTTTGTAGGAGTTGTGATCAGTGCCCACGTATGTCTGCCAAGGGTAGAGTCCGTCCTGTTCCACTTGAACCCTTACCCGTCATTGCAGAACCATGTTCTCGGGTAGCCATAGATTTTGTTGTACCGTTCTCACCCCCTTCCTCTAAGAAGCCTAAATTACATCAAGCTAATTTGTTAAGGAAATATAATTGCAGGACCCAGATTGCATGTGCCCTTGACGACGTTCCCAAGCTAGAGTTAGTCGAGGCACTACCCTGCAAGAGTTCCTGTGAAGTTCAGGCGCCAGACTCTGATGATCTCGGTTGCCAGTTGCTGATAACACCTGACGAGATAGAAGAATCCTCTACGACTGGAAATAGGCCCAAACTTAAACCTGGACTGAAGTGGATCCCACGTGCAGTTCCTTGATACGGCTTTACGTTTTGGACATCAAGTTACCACCTATATTTTTATGTGACCCTTATTTATTTTGATATGTGTATTTAAGCATTTGTTGTAAGAGGATTATGCTGTGTACTAATCTTAAATTTTAATCTACCTTACAGTAGATTTTTGTTGGGGGAGCTGTGTAAGGGCGGAAACTATCTTCCTGCTCGTTACCGCTGCTAACTCTCTCGTTTGCTGGTGCGACCAACACTTGGCGGGGTTGGACAGAGGTGAGAATGCAGCGGCTACCTGTGTTACCGGCAGATTCACCCCAGCCGCCATTCAGTCACTATCTAGCTTCCCCGCTGTTCGTACTACCGCTGCTCCTCTCCACCGTCGGTGCCCCCGGTGTTTCGTCTGTATCAAGACCTCGGCCGGTGTCGCTCGAGTGAGGTTGAACGGACGCTTCCCCCTAAGAGTGGATCACTGTTCTGGAACCTTCCCCATGGCCACTGTCGTAGGATATATCTGTTCATTGTTTGATTATATTGTTTGATACCTTTAATTGCTGACTCCTAATTGTTTGCTTCCCTTTAAGTGTTTGCTTCCCTTAATTATTTGAGTCCATTAACTGTTTACTGCATTAAATGTTTGACTCCCGTAATTGTCACTTTATGTTCGTTGAGTGGTGTCAGAGTTTTGTTATATTTTTATAGTAAAGAGATGTCAATCTCAAATGGTTTTTTGTTATTCCTCAGAAAACCATGGTCCTTGACATTCCTTTATTAAGATCCTGATTAGTCTGGTAAGGGATTTATATCCCTAAGTCCTAGGCCTTTACACAGTGTTCTAGGAGCGTTAGTGAACACTAGAAGATCTACTTACGTAAAATTGAGAGCTTCGGCGAGGCAATCCAGGAGCTTTGGGAGAGGACCCTCGAACTTGAGCCTCTGTCTCTCAGGGGCTTCCGGATTCTTACTTATAATCAATTTACTAAATGGGTTTCCTTCTGATGCTGCCAGCAAATTTGGCCTGTGAGAGAATCTAAAAAAAAAAAAAATTAGATATGTATTAGGAAATTGATTTGGCTGTACAATTTAATTAAATTTTGTGTTGCCTTTGCTACTGAATAAACTACATTAAAGAACTTTAGGGTTTGTGTTACTGCACACCGGTACTAATGAATTTACCCTCATAAGGTGATTCAATTGATATGTTTTAAATTCTGCTATACCTTATTTATATAATTTATCTACATTTCTATTACATCTACCTCTGTCAAATGGGACAGACTTAGTGGAAGATGAACATCAAAGAAGAGGAGAGGGAGAAAGATTAGTGCAGAAATGAAACGAAAAAACTAATATAAATTGATATATTCCCACGTACTTGCTTCCATGTTCATTGCAAATGGAGTACTGTATAAAGAGTGAATCCTAGCTGCCACATTGATTCTAAACATTCTATATCAATTTACTGTCCATGTTGAGTCCTCTGGTTCATTTTTGTGACTAGTATTATATAAAATGACTCCAGTCTACTGTACAATTGGTTGCCGGGGATAATCTCACCAGATGTCTCTGAACCTAAGTAAATTACCTTCATTTATCGATGTCCACATATTAATACATCTCGCTCTTGTGCCATTAACCATGTCATAAATCTTTCTGACTGTTCTGTCATAAGTCTTTCTAACAATTCTAGCATAAGTCATGTCTTCCAAAGTCCGTGTTATCTAACGCTATCTCAATAAATTTTGTGATAGCAAAACGTATCTAAAATATCCATTAGTCGTCCACAGCTTTCAGTATTTTTCAATAAATTAAAAAATTATCAACTCTACCAATAAATAATATATATGGTTTCAGAACAGTTTTGAGATGTACAAATCCTCCCGCACTTCCACTTGTTCCAGTCAGCGTTGCCGATCCTGGTCTCCGAGAGTCGTGAACCACGAAAATATGAATCGGCGTCCGAAGCATCCACTCCTCCACACTATGTGTGTGTTGGGGGAATAAAACGAAAAGTATTTTCAGAGGTTCATTTAAAAGATAGAGTATTACTCTCGTCATTTGCAGCAAGTGTATATATATATATATATATATATATATATATATATATATATATATATATATATATATATATATATATATATATATATATATATATATATATATAGAGCAAAATATGGCCATGAAGGAGAACCAAAACCACATACTGTAGTTATGCCTGAACTGCTAATCCCTGACCAGCGTTGATCGCCAGGCGGATCTAGTGCACAAAATTGCGCACTGGGAAAGTGTTTATGATCGGTCAATACTATGTAGGGTAAGCTTAATGAATCATAAAATTCAATGTAAAATAGTTTTGTGTTAAATATCTGTATTTAGGTATATGATAGAGTGCAAATAAAAGCAACGTCTACGCCTGGCATTGGGTAACCATACCTGGTAGAGCAGCGTGGTTAGTTTAAGTGGAATCCTTCCCTGCTTAGTATAGTCGTCTAAAACGTTGCTCTCGGAAGTTTTCTCTAAATGACTAAACAAACAAGTTTCACTGAAGTTATTCTAATATGAATCGGTGCTTACTACCTTCCTAACCAAATATCAGCAAGTATAGTGCTATCATTTGAAAGTCATTTACCAAGAAAAATAATGATGCTAGCCAATCCATATGGTAATTAATGCATACCTTCCTTCCTAACTATACACGCCACTGCTTGCATAGGCTGCCCTCAGCCTGTTTGAATGAATTAGGAATATTGAAAATTTTTGCCTATATGGCAACTTATATTCTCAGTGTTCATTTACATCATGCGATAACCTTTGAGGATGATGGAGAATAAGTATAAACTGAGTCTAGCCACGGTCAGCTACTGGCAAACCTATATACCACTGTAGACTGTCATTTATATCAGTCAATTGTTTTTTTTTAAATATATGACAACCATATTACACGTCGTAGCATAATCTTTTTGTAATTTGACAATTCTCTGAATTAAGCATGACATTTAATTTCCTTGTCATACTTGGTTATACAGCCAATGTCTCGGATATTCATTAAGCAATTATCAGTAGTTCCCTGTAATTAGGCTCTGCTACTCTTAATTACTTAAAATACAGTTTAATGTCTATCGATTGCACAAGGGTCATTAAGGCAAATAAGACTCCCGCCACACCCCAGGTGGGAAAGGTAGCAGTCTCCTTTGTCAAAGCAGTGCTACATGCTCTCTGATGCTTTGAGCAGGCGAAGTCGACACAGATATCCTAACAAGCGTTATAGAAAATGTGAATACCGTTGGACATTATCATGAGTGTGATGTGAATATGGTTTGTGTGAGGATCTGTTCTGGTGACAAAAGTTGCACAAAGCAAGAATGATTAATATTAGCTCATTGTCAGTATGAGTGAATCATGTTATTAAGCGACAGGTTAACTTATTATATGTTTATAAATAATAAAAAATCCAGTCTTGCCAGCCGCACAATTCCTCTAGCCCACCTCCACTCCTACCCTCTTCACCTCCCCACCCATCACCCTCCACTTCTCTTCACCTCCCCACCCATCACCCTCCACTTCCCCCGGTCCCCCACTCCACGGCACGAGCGAATGCATCGGATGCAAGTTCATATTCCCGTGGTTCACAACTCTCTGTTGACTGTTGCAGGTAGAAGTGTGGGAGGCTATACATCAATAAACACTGAGAGCAAATTAATACTGAAAATTTTCTATCCTGGAACTAACTTGGAGAACTTGTCAGGGAAGAGCGGGAGGCGAGTGGTGAGAGTGAGGCCACGAAGGGGCGTCCAGGAGGCAACCTTCAACGCCTGGGCTCCCGGAGGGCTGTACGGAAGGTGTACGTATATGCTGCACCTACAGGAGGGATAGTGGATGTTGAGAAACTCTTTGGATTCTCCCGTAGCTTCACGAAGTCATGTCTCACAACTCTTAGAAGTCACCGGAGACTCCAGTGCTTTCATTTACTTGAAACTCTTGCCACAATACGTGGAAAAGGTTAACAAAATCATAAATGAACAAGGATGGAAGAAAAAACTATCTACACTTAGTTCAATGAAAACGATCCAAAATATTTTACTGAGGCGAAGAGTCTCCTACATAAGAGCTCTACCAATTATATCTCACAGTGCTTTTTACTTCTGCCTCTAGGTTGCTTTCAGCTTGTCAGTGAGAAGCAAAGTTTCTGTCATTCCAATCTGTCTCGGGAAATCTATCCTTTTGCAAGCAGTCCAAAATTCCAATTTTGTATTTCATTAAGATTTCCTGGTTTATATCTTATAACCTCTCCGTAGGTCTCTAAATATGTGTGTGTGTGTGTGTGTGTGTGTCAGCACACAAGGTAGTGCAATGCATCTAGTATGACAGCACTATGTTAGTGTTCAGTTGCAGGCACTGCTTGCTTCCTCTCTCTTTCAGCTACTGCCACTGGCTAGCCTTCATGGAGAACAGGGAAGCATCCTTGCGTAAGTCTTCCCCTGCAAGTGCACAGCCTCTTCACCATCAAGACTCCTGCTGTGCCTCTGCTTGGCAACGCAAGGTAACTAGGTGCCTCGCGGCCCCAGAGGGACGGTGCATAGGCTCACTGGCGTGTGGACACACACTGGCGCCTAATAGTGGGGCAGCTAAATGCAATTTTTCAAGAGAATCATGCAAATGGTGATACAAGCACCAAATTTGGCATGGTAATTTTCTAATAGTTACTAGTCAAGTCTGCCTGATTAGCCATTTAAAAATTCAAGATGGCGGCCATTTTTCAAGATGGCCGCCATATTGACCTTCAGAAGTTGATTTTTCTTATAGAAATTGATGTAGTTGGTCAATCTGAGAGATCTTGGTGTCGATATGTATGTTTTCAAGCATGCTCAGATGACTTTTTTTATAGTTTTAAGTCCATTATAACATTTTTATCCACATAAAATAACACTTTTAGTAAAAAAATATAACAAAAAAGAACTTTAAAAAAAGTACTCACTATTAGCACTGGTTCCTGTGACTTCTCCTGACAGTACATCTTTGTGCATTTACTGCTGTTCACATATGCAGCTGCAAAGTACTGTGCAGGAAAGTCCATAGCGAAAGCATTTGCATCTCTGGTTGCAGTCTTTTTTATAGGAACATTTGGTCAGCTCCTGACAGCATGTCACAATCGGGGGAAGAGTCGTCCAACGTATCTGCCATGCCTCTCCCTTCTGCGTCCATCCCCAGTTGACAGGACTGCTGGTTTCTGGATTAGAGATTGTTGCCTGTCCCCAGATGATACCAGCCTGGTAGGCAGCCCGCTTTACATGTTCCTTGAGGGCTGCCTGGGTTGGTGGAATGGAGTCATATGGTTTCTGCTTGCGGGAAAGAGATTTAGTCTTGCCTCGTCAACACCAGCGGCTGCACTAGATCTGTCGTACTTGAGGACAACAAATCTTTCCAGCTTCTGCAGGTCAACATCAGCAACTGTTGTTGGACATTGGCTGAGTTTGGTGAATGCTTCTGAAACTTCATCACAAACATTCCATATCTGCCATGCAGATTTTTTCCTTTCCCACGGAAGCCAGAAACAACGTCATAGCCAGTGAAAGCATGAAAGTATAGGATCCCACTAGCTTTCTTAGGCCCTATCGCAGAAACTACATCATGAACTGGAATCCATCGATGACTGGCTCCTTGGCCAAAGGCAATCCACATGTTATCACGACCAAGCTCCTGTAGTGATGGCACTACAGATACTGCTATGACGACCACGTCAGTGTCATTGGCTTTGATGATGAGGGACTTGCTACCTTCCATTGCTGCATCCCTAGCATGCACAAATATTCGTGTGTCTGCTTCCTCATGACAGCATGGAGCCACAGCTTCTAGGGACTTCTCTGTGTTGCGAATAGCATCTTCTCCCTTTGTCACAACCACCGTGCTTGTCGTCTGTGCTTCACACATTTTCTCCACGAGAAAATGGAATAGTTCTGTCTTGTTTTTGTTATCTCACAGAAAGCTTCTCCAGTTTTTGGGAGTCTTACTGGTTCCTGTAACTCTTCTCCTGATCCCCTGTCCTCGTTTCGACCTGGCTTCAGACTTCAGACTTGACTTTTTGTACACATCAAACACTACATCCACCCTATTGTATTTGACACCATAGAATTCCACTTTGGGTAGGATTTCTTCTCTGGCATAGGCATTAAAAGTCTTTGAAGTGCGTGGAGGTAGGGCATTGATCAGTGCTGAGCCATCTATGAAGATAGCATCTCCATGTGGTTCTCTCTCTGTAGAATTTACTTGTGCTTGTAGAATTTCAGCCAGCTGTGACCTCTGACATGTATGAAGCTTGCCATTGTCACTGAGGGAGGCAGGAGCTGACTAATTCTCATGCTTGAAGAATTCTTGCAAGTCATACTGTCTGTTCTGATTGGAGATGAAGAGTCGCGAGAACAGCTGACAGTCATCTTTCAGTACCTTCTCTTTGGAACTGCTAACAACGTGGTCATGTTTGAAGAAGGAGGATCTGTTTTTCTTGATTGGATGGTAGAACAGATATTCACCTTCATTCTTTAGTCCCTCTAAGAATGACTGGAATTGTTCTTTTCCTCTGTCTTGGTGTGTACCAGCCATTTTAGCAATATCTGGATCTACAATGTTCTTTGTGTCTAACACCAGAAGGTCAGATGACTCTTCCTGGAAAGGGTTGCCCATTTCCCGCAGAACCTTGGAATGTGCTTCCACCTTCTCAAATAAAGATTTCTGTGCACTCAGGGTTTGCTCATGATGTCGCAGCTTCATATCCAGCAACAAGACGACTCACTTAAGGTCCAGCCACCATCCACCTACGAAGTGCTGCTGGGTCCTCAGTCAACCCAATTGCTACTCCATCGCCTTTAATCACTGCATTGTTTTGTTCATGGGCTTGATCAATAGCAATGGCAGAGAACTCTCTTCTTAACTTGTGGACCACAAAGTTCCTCTTGTAGAACTCCCTCGCTACCTCTGGATGTTGTTGATCAAGGCATATCATGTCTCGAAGATGAATTGTAAGCCATCGAGCATAATTAACATTGTTGTTTGCAAAGAAGTATGGGATCAGCTCTGAGAGTGCTTTAAGGGAGAGTTTGAAATTGCCTTTCCTGAATGAGCGGATCAACATGAAGATGGTGAGCTCCATGTCCAGCACAAGGTTCCAGAATTGGAACTGTGAACTCCCAAGTCTCCGTTGTTTACACCAGTCTTCAAAGCTCAAAGTTGACCTTTCAGCCTCATCAGAGCAATAGTCCTGGTATGCATCCTTCATCAGTTTGTACAAGCTGCATGCTGTGACTTAATGTGCTAGTTTTGTCTTAGTTACACTTGATACAGACAGAAGAGACTCTGCTGTACCAGATGAAGCCACTCCTGCTTCAACAAGGGAACCGGTCCAACCACTGTCTTGTAGTAGCGTTCCTAGTGATCTCAGTGCAGCCATCTCTATGTGAAGTCCCCCGAACATAATAACATACCTGTCTTCTCCATACTCAGGCCAATGTCTGGTCAGCAGCTATGACTGGGATCTGACCTGGGTTCAGAAAAGCCACTGTATCACGAACCTTTTCCATGACATGCTTGATGGTTGCCGCAGAGTGTGCCTGATCTCGCAGCAGGGGAAGCAGATACTTAATGCTCACTTCAAAGGGTTGACTCCTCTTTTGTGCTGCATGGTGAGCTGCCCACGTGATGCAGTCTTCATCAGCCACATCCTCAGTGAGCAAGACCTCTTCTAGCCAAGCATACTCTTCCTGCAGGTGTGACTGGATTGACTCACGTACTGGCAATGACTGAGGTGCTACCAAGGGAGGATTAGGATTCTTCATAATTCAAGCTGGTCGGACATTGGTGAATGCCTCTGGAAGCTCAAGAACTTTCTTGACCATCGTATCTGCATTCCGTCTGAGTGGCTCACGCTCCTCACCAGCCTACTCAGGGCTTGGATATTGGAAGATGGACACACTGTTCCCAGGGAAGGACGTTTTGGCCGTAGTCGCAGTGGGGTTGTGGTCAATGTTGTCCACTGCTGAAGTCGTGAACAACTGCTTCCTCAAGATTGGTGGACACACCACTTTATCTTCCACGTACTGGCATACAACTGCTTCTCCTAGTTGGGCTGATAATTGTAGAAATATGAAATACTGACCCCATTTTCATGCAGCATGTCGATGAGCTGCCTCTTTCTTGTCTTAGCAAACACAGACATGCCGACGTAGATAGCAAAAGGTGTCTCATGGTCCTTGGAGTGTCTGTGGATTTGTGTTCCTACCTTGTAGTTGGCAAAGCAGTTGTACTGTAAGAGTTGTGACATAGCAAGGTCAGACTTCGATGCGCCATGCTGGAGTTGGGATTTGATATCTTTACCATGTTCGATCATACATACAAATTGAAGTAGTGATGGTGATCTTTTTCCTCTGTGCAGTAAGTCGCGATCGCCTGGTCGCAACCATTGGCAGTGGTTGCAGTCCAATGGGCACTGTCGTCGCCGGGAGCACATGTCTTGGGGTCACGGAGATTTACGGTGTCGCTGGAGCTGTGACCCCAGGGGGACTGACTTTGGCCTGAGTCAGGGAGGTCACGGCCCATATCTGGCATGGGTTGAGGCCGTCGATAAGTCGTTGAGTGGGTTATTACCTTCGGGATTTCTTTTGAAGGGACTTCGTCGCTTATTTCAACAAGTGTAATGTTGTTCCTGGTTAGTGTCTCGTTGAGGTGTTACGAGAATGACAGCTCTGGCAATTGCCTTACCACTGAGGATGTGTGGCACAGCAATACTGGCATAGGCAGTTTCTAACAACCCCTGAAGCCCAGACCCTGACTTTATGTGACCAATACAACCAAGGTAGCTCATTTGGGTATGGAAGCTTCCAAGGCGCAACACAATAGTTCTAATGACTTTTTCAGAGTGACCGCTTTCTTGTATCATGAGTGTCTCGAGCCATAATGGCTGATCAAATGTGAGGATGGGTGTAGCATTGAAACTGGTAGCATGTTCACTCACATAATTCATTGTGGAATATATACAAATTGTGTCACAAAACAAATATGTTGATAAAATCTGCCTCCACGAGGCATAACTCAGTTATTTGATGGCCATTTTGAATTTATGCAATTTAGACAGTGTTCCCATTTGTTTAAATCAGTTATACTTTTCCTATTTTATTTGAGTCATGTGTTCAAGCTGAATAACGGCAAAATAATTACTATTGCAATTTGTTATGGGTCTTTCAATATTTTCCCGATTCTAGTATCACTTACCACTGCATGGAGGTCGAATAAAATGCTACTAATTTAAACAAATCTATAATAACACTGGTATTTATTCATTTTCGTTTATTATCTATATTTTATAATATTTATGGCTTCACTGCATTTTCACTTCCAACAACTCAATTAATTAATTGCATTATTATACATCCAAATGCATGGAGGTCAATGTAATATACTACTTATAGGTTTAAATGAAGTGTAGGTTGAAATTAAATGTTTGCGCGGTACGATATGTTGGGCAAACATTTAATTTCAACCTACACTTCATTTAAACCTGCTACACCAAGAGTCTCTCATCACAACTTTGCACATGGGCTGCATAGATTAGATGGTCGTTTATACACGGGGATCTAGGCAGCAGTGCAATCCGGTGCTGTCTCTGCAAGTGAGCAGCCCTTAACAGAAGCCACTCTGATCACCCCACACGAGGACGGGGCTAGAAAAGGTGCCCTTAACATAACCTGCCTGAAGAACCAACCTGACTGTGCAACCGTACCCAGTAACGTCATCCTTATGCGGTCGAAAAATTGTCACAATCACAGATCAAAGCAACCTTCTAGATAATGGCACAATAGAGCGTCCTGAAAGAAGAACCGCCGTTGTGGGAAAAGAGCAGCCATTAGTGAGTCCCGATTCCCACACGAGGGTCGACTCGCAGAACGGCTTTACCTTCTTACCTTCTGGACAGGTCAGAGATCCTTACCTTACCGAGCATCCACCCCCACGCTAGTGGTGGAGATGTACATTTAACCAAAAAGATGCTGGTGTTTTATCCCAGCAGTGGGTGGACCAGCATTTTAGCTTAAGGTCCGCGTAGGTAATATTCCTACAAATCTATTAAAAAAAAATGCGCCTAACCTTCACAACAAGCGGACGTGCTGTGCGTCGCTCCCAGCTCAGGTTCAAATTTGTTGACCGTAAAGACTGTCAGCCTTGTTTTTCACGTTGGGTTCGCTCTTGCTGCTTTATCTTGTAATTGTACATAGGAATTATTAATCTTGTCCATTACGCTTCTTCCCTATCCTATCTTTTCGCCTAGAGTCCCTGCTGTTCGGTAAAGACAAAAGACGCAAACCCTCCCGGCAGAGCCATAAGGGGGCCCAAAGAGGGCTGCTGAGTCGAAACAGTAAGGGTGGCAACATTTTCTGTTAGGGATTCGGCAGTGCTTCATAACATGTCACTGTTAGGTGTTAGGACTTGGCTAGGACCCCGTCAGGGGATTGTCTGCTCACCCTACCCCTAGACCCGTCTTTACTCGCCCAGCAAGTGTACAGAAGGAACGGCATCCATGGGGTTTAGCTGATGTCGACAGATTAGGTAGGATTTTCATTCATGTATGTAACTGACCCTGACCAAAGTGAGAGTGAAGACCTCCGGAACCCCGATCCCGGGGTCTCGCATAGAGCTAAAAAGGCTATTAAGTGACCCAAGGGTGAGAATAAATAGTCTTGTGGATCTGACAAATGGTTACACCATCCTCACAGAGACCGATGAAGATGCTAATAAGTTACTGATGTCTAGTCCCATGAGCAAAATGAAAGCCAACGGATACGAGGTCATTGTCCCACGGGAATACGGCGCCAAACTCACCCTTGTATGTAAGAAGTTGGACAAAGATGTAGTGGAAAATAACGCAGAATAAATAAGAGATGAATTAAAAGAGCAAAACAATGTCAAGGTTGTGGAGGTGTATCCTATGTATGCCCATAATATAATCAAGGTTCGCTTTGAAGACACAACGGATGTAAAAAGAATGAAGAAGGGTCTCTATGCATATGACACTCCATCTCCTCACACCAAGTAGAAGATGAAAAGTATATGCCCATCCATCAATGCATGAAGTGCTACAAATACAAAGATCAAGATCAAGAACTGCCGTCCGCAAGGGGTGATATGCTCTGAGTGTTCATCTGATCCACAATAACATTTTTTGATTCCAATTATCTTTATTAACAACAGCAACATCACTATATGGAACAAGATTCACCAAGCATTTCTTGATATCCAATACTGCTTGTTTGAGCTCATCAATCTCCTTACGGAGTTCTACTAAAATGTTAGGGGCTATAAGGTTATTGCCCCCGTTACCTATGCCCTTCTGTGTTGCTGCATTACGTATTTCCATACGCTTTCCCCACACATTTACAGCACTTGGTGTCCCTGCACCATCGCTCCTTACAACATCACCTTTATCCTCTTGATTAGTGGATGAGCTCGTGATTGCAATTTATGAACTTTCGTTTTTTAGGACGCACCCAATTACAGTATTTTGATGTAATTTTCTCTTTCGGCTAAATTTTATCTCCACATATCTTAGATTCATTCATTTTTCCACAAAATCTACATCGAAAATCATTATGGCATTTCCACGCCATGTGCCCCCACTTGCAACACTTATAGCATATTACTGGAAATTCGTTGTAGACAGCAACCCGTTTATATCCCAAACATCTCACAAAGACCTTCTCTGGCGCTGAACTTTTGATGAGCGCAATTAGTTGCGGCTTTGGTACTAGTTCTCCATCAAAACTAATTACACGTTTCTTAGCCCAAATAAATCTATCGTCAGCCAACACATTCTCGGGGTCAAGGTAATCAGGATTATCAAAAAGAATGATATTAGTACAATACCCAACGGACTCCACAGGCTTTTCCATCATTACATTCTCAAAACCTTCTGTAGCTAAATACCTAATTGCTTCCTCATCCTTCACAGTAATACGAGTATAAGGAATATGTTTATCTTCTTTAATGAGCATTTGATATCTTTGATGGCGCGTAGTGAGTCTAACTGACCACTTTACCTTATCATGAAAATCCATGCCATTATTTTTAGGGAAGAAGAAAAGACGTGGCCTCCTTCAAGAGTTACTGCCATCTAAACCATCAGTGGGGTTTACACTCATTGTACTGATCTTGGTTGAAGAATGACTCGCACCATCAATTTTCTTTCGCTTATCCACCAAGTGGGAAATGTTAACTTAACTGCTTGTACCATCGCTAGTCCTCCTTTTATTCTTTTTTTTTTATATTAACAACTTTAAATGGCTCTTGTTCTTCACATTCACTGCTGCTAGACAGCTCCAAATCCGTCAACAGTCCCTCAGCAGTACCCTGGGCTACATTGCTGTGACTGCTATATCCACCACCCAATTCCGCCACTGTATTAAATTACCTACTCGTTGAAGCTCTTCTGCTAGCCATGACCGTCGAGTAAGGCCGCCAGTAAAAGTCTGTGAAACAACACTGTGTAGCCGCGAGATGAGAGAACATACAGTACGTAGTGGATCACCTTTTCTGTATAAAAAATGGATCAAGCCGCCATGGTTATTGTTGACTGATTGAATTGTTTTTTTTTTTCCTTTTTGCCTTTCTTTCCATACTTTTATATATATTTTCTTCACTATTTCTTTCCGTATAGCGTTGGACTGGCCACGTTACCCGCTTGGACGACAGTATACTGCCAAAGCAGCTACTTTACAGTCACCTAACGAATAGTAAACACAACGCCGGCGGGCAATTAAATGATATAATGATAGTCTTAAGACAAACCTGAAAAAGTGCCAAAACGACCCCCTCACCTGGGAGTCGATTACTCAGCATCATAACACTTGGAGGAGCTCTGCACGAGAAGGTGGCAATGCTTTCCAGTTAGGCCGACTACAAACCGAAGCAGACAAGCGCCAACGCCAGAAAGACACTGCCACAGCTTCACCCGCAGTAGATGGAGCCCTCCATATGTGCAATGAATGTGAACGACGCTGCGGGCTCCGTATCGGTCTGTTTTGTCACCTCAAAATTCACCAACCTCGGTGACAAACTTAATAACTCATATCATTGTATCATAGCTGGATGTTCGTCATACTCGATTCCGAGTGGCAGCAAAGTAGCAGTAGTGTGTGTGAGTGTGTGTGTGTGTGTGTGTGTGTGTTAATTTATAGTTAAATAGATTCCCTTACGATTCATCCTCCTCTCCACTCGAAAGTCGTGTGAATCAGATTACCTGATATTAGTCGAGATATCCTTGATGATAGCCAACATGGCATTCATCTTGGAGAATGTCTCCTGTAGGTGATGAAGCTTGGAGACTGGCAGGTGGGTGACGGCGAGGAGCTTCGTCGACCACACCATGAGGCGGCTCTTGAGGGACCACTCGGCGAACACGGCTAAGAATGCTGGATCATCACTTATGACCACAATGGTTGTGTGTGATGAAAGTTGCCGTAGCTGTTAACGTCGAAATGATAGAGTGTGAGATCTATGTCAGAGATGTGAGAGTGGACACTTCCTTCAGCACCATTGAATAAAGTCTCTAACTCCAGCACCATAGAAGAAGTGATTAACTTGTCTTGATTATAAAGTGAGTGGGACCTTCTCGACTTAGAATCCGTGAATGAATTATTAATTGCAATGGGAATATGGAACGTACTTACCAACTTTATCATAGTGATTAGGTGAGAAAGCTGATCCTCCATTCTACTCAGTTCCTCGTCGTCAGCTGTTACCTCAAAGATCCCAACACCTCCAGGGACCCGTAGATAATCTACCAACTATGAGAATACAACATTGGTCTCACATGCAGTATAATAGTATGTTGTCTTAAATACATTTTGTTTTATAAATGTTCACTTCCAATGATGTTAATAGATTGTGCCACAATTTGCGTAAGCTATAGCCAAATCACCAACACTGTAGACAATGGAGGGGGAGGTGCTGCCATCCATGAGGAGAAAGACGGAATAATCGGAATACGTCACTGTCGCCATCACCGCCTCCACGAGCCCCACCACTGATGAAGGGCTGTCTTGTTTAGCTGTTAAAATATGAATGGCAGATATCATTTAGACATTCAAAATCCTGAAAAATATGGGAAACATGAACCCGGGACATTTCTTTGTGATGTCATGCACCACCAACGCGAAGGGACATAACTACAAACTCGCCAAGCTATCATGCTGAACGAATATAAAGAACAACTTTTTTCACACAGAGGGTGTTAGGACTATGGAACGGTCTACCAGCCAAAGCTATGGAATCAAGAAAACTGATGATCTTCAAAATAGTCGACAAAATTATCAAGAACAATGACGAATCCTATACAGGCTACTGGTCTTCTTGCCTCGGCATGGCCACTTCTAGTGGGTGGCCACGAGGTAAATAAGGTAAATATGTTGACACCAATTATTTTCTTGTGCTATATACAGATAACTTTTGTTTCATTTCACAAAATATTATAAAGTAATTTGAATATGAAACAAAATGATATGCTCAACTTAAAACTTTGTTACCATCGTAAGATAGGTTAAGTTAGGATAGGTTAGGTAAGTGTATTGAGAATATTTCTGTTGTATGCATTTCAAATGTTCTGTATGATTATTTTGTATTACAATTTGTATTTGTAATTGACTTAATATATTAGATAGATGGTCGTGGTTGTTATAATCATGTTAGTCGTGGTTGTTAAAAATCATGGTGGTGGTTGTTATAATCATGGTCGTGGTTGTTATAATCATAGTTAAATGGTTGTTATAGTCATGGGCGTAAGTTGTTATAATCATGGTGGTGGTTGTTATAATCGTAATTGATAGTTGATAAATAATCATGGTTATTGGTTGTTATAATCATGGTCGTGGTTGTTATAATCATACGTCATTTGTTGTTATAATCATGTTAAGTGGTTGTTATAATCATGGTCATGGTTGTTATAATCATGATCATGGTCGTGGTTGTTAAATCAAGGCTCGGTTATTATAATCACGGTCGTGGTTGTTATAAAACATGGTGTGGTTGTTATAATCATGGTCGATGTTATGATCATGTTCGTGGTTGTTATGATCATAGTCGAAAGTATAATCATGGTCGCTGTTATGATCATGCTCAAGGTTGCTGCGATCATTGCCGTGGTTGTTATAATCATAGTCCTGGTTGTTATAATCATGGTCGCGGTGTTATAATCATGGTCTGGTTGTTGTAATGACGGTCATGGTTGCTATAAAATGGTCGAGGTTGTTATAATCATAGTCCTGTGTTATAATCATGGTCGGGTGCTATAACCACGGTCGTGGTTATAATCATGGTCGTGGTTGTTATAATCATGGTCCCGGTTGTTATAATCATAGTCCCGTTGTTATAATCAACGGTCCTCGGTTGTTATAAATCAGGTTTGCGATCATGCTCGTGGTTGTTATGATCATAGTCAGGTTTTATAATCGCGCGATCGTGGCTATAATCATGGTCGTGGTTGTAGTAATTCATGGTCGAGGTGATCATGTTCGTGGTTGTTATGATCAGCAGTCGAAAGTATGATCGCGGTCATAAGCGATTTGTCGGTTGTTGTGATCATTGCCGGTGTCAGTAATCACAGTCCCGGTTGTTATAATCATGGTCGCGGTGTTATAATCGCGTCGTTGTTGTTGCAATCATGGTCATGGTTGCTATAAAATGGTCGAGGTTGTTATAATCATAGTCCTGCGTGTTATAATAACTGGCGGGTCGTGGTCGTGGTTGTTATAATCATGGTCGGTTGTTATAATCATGGTCCTGGTTGTTATAATCACAGTCCCGGTTGTTATAATCAATGGTCCTGGTTGTTATAATCATGGTCGGTTATGATCATGCTCGTGGTTGTTATGATCATAGTCGAGGTTTTTATAATCATGATCGATGCGTTGTTATAATCATGGTCGGTTTTATAATCATGGTCGTGTGTTATAATCATGGTCGTGTTGTTATAATTTTCGCCTGGTTATAATCATGGTCTTGGCTGTTATAATCATGGTCGCGGGTTGTTATAATCATGGTCGTGGTTATGATCATGCTCGTGGTTGTTGTGATCATAGTCGTCGGTGTTATAATCATGGTTGTGGGTGATATAATCATTGTCGTGGTTGTATAATCATAATCGTTATGATCATGGTCTTGCTGTTATAATCATGGTCCCGGTTGTTATAATCATGGTCCCGGTTCTTATAATCATGGTCCCGTTGTTATAACGTGGTCGGTAAAACAAACTGGCGGTCGGCAGTAAAATCATGGTCGCGGGCGTTATAATCATGGTCTGGTTGTTGTTAAAGGTCGGTCGTGGTTATGATCATGCCTGTGGTTATGATCGTAATAGTTTTATAATCACGATCTGGTTGTAATCAACTGGTCGGGCGATATAATCATTGTCGGGTTAACATCATAGTCGGGTTGTTATAACATGGTCGCTTGTTATAATTGCGGTCGTTATAATCATAATCGTGGTTGTTAACAGTCATATGGTAATCATATTCTTGGTTGTTATAACCAATGTGTGGTTGTTATTATCATGGCTGGCTATGATCATGCTCGTGGTTGTGTGACTGGCAGTCGAGGTGCGTTATAACTGCGCGTCAGGGGTGGTATAACCACAGTCGTGTTGCTAATCAGGCGGTCGGTTGTTATAATCCAGTCGAAGGTTATAATCATGGGGGTTGTATGCGGTAACGCGGTTTGATTGGGTAATCAGCAGTAACTGGCGGTCGTGAGAATAATCGCATCGTTGCAGAAATGGCGGTCATGGTGTTATAATCGCGTGGTGGTTGTTATAATCATGATCGTTTATTATAACCGGCGGTCGGTTGTTATAACTGGTCGGTTGCTTAATAATGGTCGGTTGTTATAATCATGGTCGTGGTCCCGTTATAATCATGGTCGTTGTTGCTATAAACTGCGGTCGGTTGATATAATCATGGTCGGGTTGTTATAATCATGGTTTTGCTTGTCACAATCATGGTCGCGGTTGTTATAATCATGGTCGTGGTTGTTATAATCATAGTCCTGACTATTATAATCATGGTCGTGGGTGTTATAATCATGGTCGTCGTGTTATAATCATGGTCAAGATATATCTACTGATCACAGCAGTGATCATAATCGAAGAGATATAATCATGGTCGTGGATACAAGACTGATCGTTCGGTTGTTATAATCATATTGCCACATAATCATGGTTGGTTGTTATAATCATAGCATGGCTGTTACAATCATGGTCGTGGTTGTTATAATCATGTTCGTGGTTACATCATTGTCGTCGGTTGTTATAATCATTTTCGTCGTTAAATATATTCGTGGTTGTTATAATCATGGTCGGTTGTTATAATCATGTTTGTGGTTATGACTCATGCTCGTGGAAGGCAAGAATTAGTCGAGGTTTACAACTCACGATCGTGGTTGTCCATCCGCGGTCTGGTTGTTATAATCACCGTCGTGTTAACATCATAGTCGTTTGTTATAATCATGGCCCGGTTGTTATAATCATGGTCGTGGGTGTAATCGGCGATCGTGGTTGTTATAACAATAGTCGGAAGGTTATAACCATGGTCTTGGTTGTTATAATCACGGTCGTTGTTATAATCATGGTCGCGGTTACGATCATGCCTCGTGGTGGTTGTTGTGACTGTCGAGGTGCTATAATCATGATTGTGGGTGACATAACTGGCGGTCGTGGTTGTTATAATAATGGTCGTGGTGTTATAATCATGGTCAGTTATGGAAATCATGGTTGTGGTTGTTATAACGATTCCATTGAACAGAACGGTACGTGGTTGTTATAATCAGGTCGGTCGTTATAATCATGGTCGCTATAACGTAGGTTGTTATAATCATCGCGTCGGTTGCAATCATGGTCTTGGCGATATCTGCCGTCGGTTGTTATAAACATAATGGCCGTTATAACTCACGGTCGCCGTTATGATCATGCTGGTGTTACGATCATAATCAGGTGATATAACCACGGTCGGGTGATATGATCATAGTCGTGGTTATAATTCATGGTCGTGGTTGTCATAACGGCATAGTCGGTTGTTGATAATCATATATGTGGTTGTTATAATCATGGTCGTGGTTGTTATAATCATGTCTCGTGGTTACGATCATGGTCGTGGGTTGTTATAATCATTTTCGTCGTTAACATCATATTCGTGGTTGTATTAACAGGCGGTCGTGTTGTTATAATCATGGTCGTGGTTGTTATAACCGCGGCGTGGTTATGATCATGCCTGGCGGTTGTTGTAATCATAGTGAGGTATTATAATCATGTTCGTGCGATATAACTCATATTCGGGTTGCGTAATCATGGTCGTGGTTGTTATAACTCACGGTCGGGTTGTTATAATCATGGTCGTGGTTGTTATAATCATGTTCGGGTTGCCGCGCAGTTCGTGGTTGTTATAATCATGGTCGTTGTTATAAATGGTCGTGGATAGATCATAGTCGTGGTTTTATAATCATGGTCGATGTTGTTATAATCATGGTCGTGGGTGTTATAATCATGGTCGGGTTGTTATAATTATAGCGTGGTTGTTATAACCATGGTCTTGGTTGTTATGTGTTGTTATAACTGTGTATCGCTGTTCATGCTCATGGTTGCTGTGATCATAGTCGAGGTGCGTTATAATCATGGTTGTGGGCAGAGACGATTGGCATACGACGTGAGTTGTTATAATCATGGCCGTGGTTGTTATAATCGCGGTCATGGTTGTTATAACTCGGTCGTAGTTGTTATATAACTGGGTGGCGGTTGTTATAACCGCGGTCGTATGTTATAATTTACGCGATTGTTTAACGCGCGTGTTTGTTATAAACCAATGAGCTGCGAATCACGGTCGGCTGCATCATATCGGTTGTTATAATCATGGTCTGGTTGTTATAATCATGGTCGTACGTTATAATCATGGTCTGTTGCATATAATCATGGTCCGTGCTTGTTATAATCATGGTCGGGCGTTGTTATAATCATGACTTGGTTGTTATAATCATGGCCGTGGTTGTTATAAACTTT